GGGAGTCACACGTTTAGAACCACCCCCTTGTGGGCATGGAATCTTAACGGGCTCCGAATGCTGATTTTGCACAACTCCATATTTTGGAATCCAAACTTTGTAGAGTTTTGGTGGTTTTTTTACCACCGTTTCTTTGTTTCTTTCTCGTCTTTGTTGTAAGAGAGCACGAGCATGAGCTGCGTTTGCACGACGCTTTTGTATACGTTCTTTGAGGGTCGAACGAGCCCTTTTGACGAGTGTCCATTCCTCCGTCGTGAATTGTGCAGAAACGTGAGTAGTTTGTCGTTGCGTTGAACAAACCACTTGTTGTTTCCTCGACTCTAAGTCCGCATAATAACGAACTCCGTCGGTTTGTTCAAATGCCTTAGCTATTTGGCGAGCACGGCGCTGACGCTGTCTCTGACGAGCCCTTTTCGTCAGTACCGGTGGGCTTTGATTCGATGACTCTTTAACTAGATAAGAGTCATTGTGAGCAGAGGTGTTGCGAGTAAAATCCTTAGCAACAATCCGGAGAGAGTCTTCATTTTGTGCCTTCTTTGGCATGTAGGTCTTCCTCAATTCTGAGATCCTCTTGTACTTGCGAGACAATGAAGATCTTGAAGAGGATGATGAGAGATATTCCTCAAATTTGGTTTGGTCGAATTCGTATTCGACCATGGATTCAACTGGAATCTTGATCGGCTGCGACACGACGGTCTCGGCAGCGAAACTGTTGGCTCCCACTGTGGTCGCCAGCTTGTTTGCGTCAAAAGTTGGTTTTGTCATGGAATTCATTATATCTTCAGTCGATTACAATAAATTCAAAAGAAATAGCATTTTTATAAGACTTCTTTTACACAACAAAATAAAAATTACAACTCTTGGGAAACAAACGCAGGATCGTTGTTTGGATCACTGCTTGCGTGGGATCTTTGCCTGTGCCGGGGGTGCGTTAGCCCGTGGACCACCAAATCACAGATTCTGATCGAATCATGAGGGGTTTATGATTCTGACTTCGTTTATCGAAGTGAGAACTTGAAACGATATCTTATCAAGGTAAGATAGTCGTTCTTCTTGAAATCAAGTCAAAGCCTGAATATCAAGGAGTTGCCAGAAACTCAAGAACTCTGCTCTCTCTCTGCTCTGGAATGCTCTGAAGTGCTCAAAAAGACAGTAAATTTGCTGTCTCGCCCAGAAAGACAGTAAATACTGTCTCGGAAAACGAATATTCTTGACAGTTTCTTGCTGTAACTGCTTTCTCACGTTTTAAAACTCCGTTATTTTGGTAGTTGTCAACGTGATTCTCGCCCACGACGTTTCCCACGTTCCTGAACAGTTGGTGCCCACGTGTCGGCAGTTTTCCAAGCAGTTTTGACATTCTTAAGGCTGTCTCGCGTGCGAGACAGTAAATGTTGTCTCGCGTGGGCGAGACAGTAAAAGCTGTCTCGCGTGGGCGAGACAGTAAAGTCTGTCTCGCGTGGGCGAGACAGCAAAGACTGTCTCGCCGTGCGAGACAGCAAAGACTGTCTCGCATGCGAGACAGTCCATACTTGTCTTTTTTCTTTGATTTTTGGATGACTTCCTTTTGAGCTGTGTTTGGATATCTTTCAGCATTTTTTAACGCCTACACTCCACATAACAGTTATTTTAATAAACACAAAAGATAAGCGGATAGACACATGAGAAGTGAAAAGCAAAGAAAATATTTATTATGATAAACGAACGCAACAATCTTGATAAGGAAGTTTCGATAAAGAAGTTATCATAACTCCCCCAATCATTTTTCAACACCGGGCAATAACTTCCCCTGACCTTTCCTATAAATAGACATTTCTTTCGTCAGAAAAAGGGTGGAGAGACGGTAACAAAATAACGATAGAAAAGATAGAGAAAAGACGGAGAGATTGAAAAGAAAGAAAGACTTGGAGTTTGAAACGACAGCGCTAAGGTCCTCTATATTTTTCGTTTTGAAAAGGAGAAGGGCTCCAGAACATTGTTTGGAGACCTAAGATCTCATCTTCTTTCTCTTAAATTTTATTAATACATTAGAAAGATAATAAAATCAAAATCTCTCTGCATTTGATTTCTAATGTCTATTTAATTCTTTGCTTTCTACTAATCAGGTTTTTTTTAATAAGAGTAATTAACAGAAATAAATAAATTTCTGGAAGCATGCACCTCACAATTCTTTTTACAAACAAAATGATACTAATATGTATCTAAGGAGTAAATATTTAGGGATTGCTCTACTCTCATTGAGATTGGTGATACGGCTTGGTCAAGAAGAGATTAGCCTATCCAAATATTATTTCTCCACTGATGGATACTAGCACTACTTTGAATTTTTTTTTATAAAATATACACGCCGGACATTCCGACACTTACAACCCTCAAATCGATTCCATATCCAATTTTTTTCTACATCTGAGAGAACACCTCCCTTTCCTTATCTCTCCCGGATCCAATCTAATATGAGATTGGATCTTGTTCAAATTTGATAGAGAAGTGTGAAACTTTTTTGATCTTTTCTGGAGGAAGAAGGGAACTTTTTATGGGGTTTATATAGATTACATTACCAAATTGGTATTTTTAGTAGTATACTTTGCGATTTGGTATTATTCTTGAGGCAAAAATTTGGTATTAATACTTTAATGTTGCCGGAGAAACTAAAAATACCAAATCGGAAAGTGCGTATTACTAAAAATGTCAATTTGGTAATTTAGCTGGTTTATATTCATAGATTTTGGTTGGACGAGGAAGATGGAGATTGTGCAGTATTGTTTTCAGTTTTTCACTGTTAGAAACCTTAGAATAGTTATCTTGAGAAGTAGCTAAAAATGCATATAGTGTAGGAGGTGAATCAGTAAATCTACACTATATATTAAAAGCCCAAGTCAGGGCAATCAAAAAAGGTATGAATGGACGGTATTTCCTCATTGCTATTGTCATTTTAAGGGTAAATTTGTAATTTTACAACTTCCCTTTTTTTTTTTCTTTCCTTTTCCTCTCTTTCTTGAAAAGCATTCTAGATCAAATTCAATTACATGAAAATAATATTGGAACGTGCGCATAGTTTATAAAAAACGGTATTTGTTCTTTAAAGAATACACATCCTTCATATTTTGTTAGTAGTTTATATAGACCCAAAGAGGAAATAGATGTTTTTTAAGAAAATGTAATTATATTTAAATTAAGAAACAGTCCTACTATATCTATACTACTTTATAAAGAGCAAAGTGAGGGTAGCTAAAAGTTAAGGAATGCCTCCAACCATAGTTTATCTTTTGAGGAAACTCTTGGTTTTTAAGGCAATATGGTAATTTCAAAAGAATAGACACTTTGTCCATACACATCCATCATATTTTATTAGTAGTTTATAAAAGACCCAAAGAGAAAAGTGATGTTTAAAAAAAGTAATTATATTTAAATTAAAAAAGATTCCTACTATATCTATTCTACTTTATAAAGAGCAAAGTGAGGGTAGCTAAAAGTGAAGGAATGCCTCCAACCATAGTTTATTTTTTGAAGAAATTCTTGGTTTTTTAAGGCAATTTGGTAATTTCAAAAGAATAAACACTTTGTCCATATCCATCCCTCATTAAATGCTCTCTCTAACAATCCCAATAAAAAACTTTTAGAATCAAGTCAACACAATTTAAATCTACAACCAAACTATAAATAACATCTTGAATATTGAAGAAAGTAAAAAATAACAAATTCATGAATCCAAAACACTAGAATACTTTTATTATACTAACATTTGAATTGTAAAATTAAATAATAATTATACTGGTGAGGTCGATTGTGGATGAGTTACATAAAACAGAACATGAGCAATTTCTTGCATCCAGATCAATGATAATTGAAACGTTATAGAAAAGGAAAATATAAATATAAAACTATATTAGTAAAAACAATTCAACTTGCTACTTAAATAAATAAATGATATAAAAACCAATAAATAAACCAAATATTATACCTAAATAACATTGTGTTAAAGTTGATCTATATCCATCGCTTTAATAAAATGATGTATTTTTAAAAATGATCTGTTCTAATTTTCGTTAGAGTATGTGGTTATAGTTTTTTTGGTCACGTGCATTATGCACGTGCAATTTATCTAGTTAACGTATAAAGAAAATTTGTGAAAGATACCAAAATCAAACAGTGAAAGATAAATGTAAGTCTACTCTTTAAGAATCAACTTAAAGTCACCCTCAAAATATCCATTATATATGCACAATCTCGCTATAAATAAGATGAATTTGTTTTATATTTAAAAAAATTAAAAATGTGCAAAAAGTATTTTTCCTATCACATGCGTTTGCACGTGCTAAAATTCTAGTAGTAATTTAAGGATTAACTTTGGGAATAACCAAGATTTGAGGGGTAGTCTTGTAGATATGTAATGTAAAATCCTATTTAATGATACACACTTTTCATGCCTAAATTTTGTCTCTAAGCTTGATCAATGAATTGGTTCTGTGAATATCGTCTACAATTCGAAAAGATAGTGTTGACAATTAGTCAAAGATGACATTGTAGCATCTTAAAAACTTAAAAAGTTTGTGCAACAATACATCTACATCTACTTTCACATGCTTTCCTTTTAAAAATAAGTTCTATGGATGAAAGCTCCCGGTTCCATTTTTAAATTTTTCTATAGAAGTTTGAATGAAGTTTTGCTAATGTGCTCTGATTGGAGTCTTATGAGGACTGATTTGTTACTGTTTAGGGGAGCAACCTGCATTCTCTATATACGTGATTTTACTTTAGATCACATGATTAAGTATTACCATGTCTCACCTAATGCATATTCCGTTAAGTATTTGCAACAGTTGTGAATGGTTTTATCTCCATTTTGCTCGAAGACAGAATCAGTTTCAGGGCTGAGATCTCCATTCAACTTGTTATGTATGTTTTAGGTGGAATTGTTCTTTATATTAACTCCTTTTGAGTTTTTCTTTCTCAAATAACCTATTCTTAACTGCTAATCTGTCAACAGATTTACNTCTTTGTAGGTACTTTCACCCTTTCAAACCTCGGTATGTTTGGTGTTGACCGTTTTGATGCAATTTTACCGCCAGGAACTGTAAGTGTTAACGTTAAACAATTTAATCTCTATAATTATTATGTGTGTGCTTAAAACATTCTTTATGAACCAATTATCACACTGACTAAGGAGGTTTGATTGATCTGCAGGGTGCTATCATGGCTGTTGGCGTATCACAGCCTACTGTTGTTGCTACTAAGGATAGAAAGATTGGCATGAAAAATCAAATGCAGGTAAAGTTTTCGATTCAATTTCTTTACTCATTGGCTTCAGAGAAAAATCCTTCAGGTCTTGAGTTTAGCTTCAAGGTCTCACACGTGGAATGTGCATCCCTGTAGGTAAACGTAACTGCCGATCATCGTGTCATCTATGGTGCTGATCTCGCTGCTTTCCTGCAAACCTTGGCCAAAATTATCGAGGATCCAAAAGATCTCACATTCTAGTTGTTGTCATGAGATTGATAATTATTGAACTATCATTTCCCCCATTCTTCGTAGAAAGTTAAATTAGTGTGCTTTTTATAATATTGAGTTAATAGGTGCTGTGTGCTGCTCCTGTTTGCAGCAACTTGTAGGGTTTTGAGGAATGTTAATGTTTCCCCCCTCTTTTTGTAAGGCTTCATGAACTTATTTGTTCCAATAAAACTTTATCAAGAAGATTTGAAATTCCATGGTCTCTAGTTGGAAGTTGCATTTGTACAAGGATAAGGTGGTATAATCAGAAAATCTAGGGTGATAACGGGAGTTCTTGATTATGATACATTACAGGCCGTGAAAAGTTTGTAGCTTTTGATCCATCGGCTTTGTATTGAAAAGGATGAAGTCGGCGTGCTTTCATCTTCAGAGTTTGGTAGCAAAACAAAAACAAGAATGTGGTGGTTCGCAGAAAGCTGCAGGTTTGCTGCCATGAATCAGTACTCTCTCGTCAAGAAAGAGATTGTTTCGTCTCAGGTTCAGTTTCTTGTTTGTTTGCAGCATTTTTGGATTCATACTTCAATATGTTGATATACTACTAACAGTAAGTAGAATAGAGAGGGTCATTTTTGTATTTGAATTAAGTTTGGATCATGATATCAGCTAACCTCTTGATTTCCAGAAACAGTTTCATCTATACATTTCAGTGGGTTGAAAAGACTCTGCAAAAGATCGATGATGGTCATCAGGTTCAAAGGTCAGTTGTATCTTCACAAATCAAATACATATACTCATTCAATCTCGGGGAACTTCTCGATATATTAGAACCTGTGAGTTGATTTCTAGAGATACTAGAACTTGTGAGTTGATTTTTTTTCCTGTAGGAATACAGCTTGTCCAGTGTATTAAAGGTCAGAATCGATCTCTTAGCTTCTATGTTATGTGCCAAATTTAACGCATGCATCAACTTGAAGAAGATGATGGGATTTATCCAACTTTTTCATTAAAAAAATGTGGAAAAAAATATCGTATATGAACAGGAAGGCCAAACCATATTATGCATCTTTAAATTACTTGCATCTCAGTCTTCTTAACATTTTCTATATTTTTTATACTGAACCATGAGGATTTGTTCCAACTCCTAACAATGAGAATGCGTATAAGCAACAACCTACAAGTCATTTTCTCATGTTCAATTGCAACTTGGCTTAAAAGGGCTGACTGCAACTGAGTTAGATTGCAGCTAGCTTTATTCTGGTTGACATTGGACTGAGCTGACTATTTTATATTAGAAAAGAAGAGTAACATGGGTCAAAGTCGCCAGTTCTTCACTAAAAAAGCTTACTTTCTCCGACTTAATGCTTGGCAAATGGTCTAATAAGCTACTTTGGGACGATTGACAAGTGATTTATTTTGGCTTATAGTCCATCAAAAGATAAGCTAGGATATCTTAGTTTATCTTTTGGTGGATTTTAAGCCACAGGGTTTGACTAAGTAAAACACATGTATACCCCTCATTGTTTCATAAAATTCAAAAAGGATTCCCTTTCCGGTGGATTACAAGCCCTTTTTTTTTGTCATTTTGACAACAATGGTGGATTATGATTCATCTATTTGCAAAACACTCCTATTGGAAGTAGATTATATTCCACTAAATTTGTCAAATACTATGGGTAATCTAAGTAGACTATAATCCTCAGTTGTCAAACATGCTCTTAATATGACGAATAAGTAAAAGCTCGCGTGACATTAATGTGATAAACATTCCAGTCATTAGTTAGTCTATATGTGTGCCACATCAACGACATACCAGCCAACACTACATTGAAAAACACAAGTACCTAGCATCGCTCTGTCAAGCCAGATGGTAGATTGGCTCCTCTTGGATGATAATAATGACATTGATGATTTACAATGAAAGCTAAAGATAAAGGGGCAAAGCTAATAAATAAGAAGTTTTACCTACTAAAAGAGCACTAATAAAGAATCAGCTGGCATGCATTTTTCTCAAAGTTTTTACCAAAGACAAGCTACCACAAAAAGGACTTTCAACTACATTTTCCTTATGGTGGTTTAGACAAGAAAGTTCAACTACAACACACTCCATTGACTTAGCACAAGAATATACAAGTACTAGTTTCCATTTCCTACAATTATATGGAAAATGTAACTACCAATCTCCGAGCAAAAAATCATGGTATTGCAGAAAAGAGAAAAAAGTATATGGTGGTTCTAATACAAATGATTTGCTAGACACTTTTTTTGTAATGAGTCAAAAGTATGCCCTCATGCCGATGAGTAATACACATCAAGGTTGTCTTTGAAATGTGTGCCTTGATGTGCGCACATCTCAAAATAAATTCGAAAGATTAAAAAAAAAAAGATTGATGAACAGAGCCTTCGGATCACTTAAGAAGATTTTCATGTAACAGTGTGATGTCGACCTCTTGTGTCTTGATCAAAGTAGGTACACATTATAAATATATTGTACCCAGCCTAACAATCCAGTATCTGAAAAAAAAGAAGAGGAGGTAAACAGCATCTTTTATCAAAAAAAAATAATAAGTAAATAAATAAATAAAACCCAGTATCTAAAAAAAAGAGGTAAACGGCATGACTCATTTCAAAAAAAAAATAAAATAAAAAAAAAATAAAAAAAAATAGTGAGGCCTTTGGCTTGTCATGAGAAACCTACCGTCCATCAGCATACAATAAATCCACTACAACTAATCTCTAGAACCAACCCAATATGAGAACACAGACAAAAGTCCCTTTCTTTGCCACCCAGACAAATTGCTAGTGTAAATGGTTTTAGGTGGGTGCTGGCTAAGAAAATACTTACAAAATTTGGAGTGTGATTTAAAAGAAATAACATTGGAACCCTCATGATGCCCACAAGCTAATCACTCATTAGCAACCATGCATCAATATAGATAAAATAAAACAAAACAAAAAATATTGCCACGTAAAACATATATATCGAATGATTCAAGGTTCATCGGATGGTTGGTACACCAAAAAATTATATACCTTTGTACTGACGTAAAACGTATGGATCTAGATTTTATTCGCTTGATGTACCTACTATCCAGTGAGATCATTCAGTCCTTTTTTTTCCCTTTTTAACACAAGTTGTACAAAAAATGGTGCACAAAGTAATTGCTCAATCCACTTTCACCCCTTTCCTCCTTAAAACCAGAACCCATGTTTATGCTTTCTTGATCGGCAAAAGCACAAGCACCCACAATCCACCACTCTTGTCCTTCACAATAAATTATCAGAATCCCATCATTTTGCAGCCAGACCCTTTGTCACTTTTGACAAGGAATTCCTCTCTACTGAAGTCTCCATATGATTAACAAGTGTGCATTGTATTGAAAATTCTCAACGGCTATCTATATCAACTTGGGCCCCTCCAAAAAAACCAAACGCACCAAGGCTTGAAAGGGAATTAGATAGACTCGAGGAAAAGCACCAAAAGACCCTACAAAATTCTCCTCATCTCTCCATTCAATCCGGCGTTAGATGAGATACCCTCAACCACCATGATAAATACCTGAATTATCTCCCATTTTCAGTTCAGTTTCTGATAAAAAAATCTTCGGGTGGTTAAAAATGGATGATTTCAGCTTTCCTACAATCCAAACAGACCCGGATGATTGCGCGCTCCCATTTCCTCACTTTGCAGCATCTCCTCTTTGGTATCGAAGAAGCTTCTCATCGGCGAGGGAGGCTGCTAAGGTCGCTGATTCCTTATCGGCGCTTAGTGATGATGAAGGTGCACGCGCATGCGCATGCGATAAATTTGTCAGCAACGAGGAGAAGATGGATATGCTGTGGGAGGATTTCAACGAAGACCTCTATCCGGTTTCTTGCGAGTGGAAGAAGAATTTTAAAGGGAAGTCAGGGTCGATTGCAGAATTTCGCTACGGTCAGGCCTTTGGCGTGCCGAAGAGGAGCAGCAGCTTGCTTCCTCGAAGGAAACCGAGCTTGGTTGTGATGCTCAAAGTGCTGAAGAAGCTGTTCTTGATACAGAAGAATGGCTCGGGGAAAAGAGCACCGGTCTGCAAAATATAGTTTGAGTGAGTTCGATCAATTGAGATTGATTCCATACACGATATTGAACAATTCAGAGGATGTACAAATGGGATATAGATACAAAATGAAATAGTAGATTGCTATGCTTTTCTGTAAGAAATGTAAACTTTCTTCTTCTTTTTTTTTTTTTTTGCCATCTTCTATAAATTAAGGCCCTTCAGAGTCTCATTATGGGTTACTTGCACATGGACTCGTAGTGGTATCACTGTTTTGTACTTATAGACCCCTCAAATCGACTCACAAACTTTTCACCCGGGCGATAAATGCAAAATTTCACCCAACGACATGATTTTTTTTTTTGCAGATTTCACCCCAGGTTGATATTAGTAAAGTCTATTTCGGGATAAAAGGGTTTAAAAAAATTTTAACCCCGGGGGGTTCTATCTAACAACTAATTAACTACAGGGGTATAGTTGGTTCGAAAGAACGATACTACGCGGGTTTTGTGTGGAATTAACCCCCTCCTCCATTCATGGCGCTTCCAGGTTCAGCAATTAGTTAGAGATGTTCAAATGTGAACGCATTTGTGCACCAGTTGCTAGCACAAACTAATGTCCAAAAATGGAAGATAACGTATTCACATGTTGGACTATTCCATATCCAAATCCAGGCTATTCACATGGAAGACAGATAGATAGTCATATAGAATTAAAAACAGGGAGTTTTCGCAAAGTGGTTGTAAGTACCTGATGCTTTGTTTTCAGGCTTTCAGACTAGCAGTAGTAGTTGTAAGTTTTTTTAACTCCAGTTGCAGATTCTGCAGACAATTCAATAGCAAATTGAGCAGCATTAAGCAGGATATTAAAATTAGCTAGTTTCACGATAAAAAAAAATTATATATATCTAAATGATGTATAATACCCATCCTAAATCTTAAGCTGGTTCGATTGGGATTCTTAAATGGACAATAAAAAGAGAAATGAAAGCAATCATCTCTTCAATTCGAAATGAAATATCCAGAAGAAACTAATGGGATATATGCAGAAGTTCCACCCATAAGCTATCAGTTCTTGAAATATTAAGTTAGTTTCAATTTTTTTTGGACTTATTAGACTTTGCTTTGCAAGTTTATTTTTACCCAACACCTTGACAAATATTTCACACAGTTTGTCTCAATTGAACCCACATGTTCAGATTTTCTAATTGGCTTGCTAAAACCTCTTCTTCTCAAGTTGCAATATTCTATTTCAATTTTTTGTTCTCACCTGAAGAATCATTAATGTGTTCTAGAAAGCCCTTGCCAAGAACCTATCTATGCTAAGTCTTTGCTTCTAGCATCAAACAGAAGAATAATAGAGCAAAACTTAAACATTCACTATGATCATCTCTATGTTAAGAACCTACATATCTTTTAGATTATAAAGAAAGAACATTATTGGTATGACATACACAAAAGCATGAAAAGAAAAGAAACACAAAGATGAGGCCAAAAGTTTCTTAATGCTAATGAAGGGGAACCTTGTAGGCTAAAAATATGGTTAGAGCTACTTGGACTGACTTTCCACAAACTCAAAAGAATCGTCAATCATCATCATTGCCACAACGGACCTACACCTAGAAAAATCAGTAGGAGTCAAGCCTAAATCATGAAAATAGACCTATCTCATCTGATAGCATCCAAGCTAGCCAAACAAAGAGACATGCGCAGGTTGAGGTCGCCGGAAAATACGACAGAACAGTAGAATCAAGGTCAGAGAGTTCAAGATCAGAGATGGGTTGCACCATCTCCAGATTGAGCAGCAACGAAACCGAATGTGAATTTCTCATGGTTGAAGATAAGCCAAGAGCCAAATCCAATGTTTTCATGGTCATCAATAATCATGTAGAATGTGGCGTTAGGTACAACTTATAAACCTCACCTGATTATTGATACCTATTGACCATTTGTGATATTATTCTCATAATTTGGTGTCTGGCACTTCTGCTCCATTCTTGTTACCTAGACCATTCTTACGACCACGACCGTATATCATCCCCTTAAAGCTATAGTTTACTTCTGCTCCATCCTTATTGTAACCCATTTCAATTCCCAGATGAAAAGCTGAGCAGATTTTTGTTCAGGTGCAAACGCATCTACGGTTCCCAAATACGCCGCCCAACATGCCTGGAAATTTATGATTAATTTCAGCTAGATCTGTTCATACGGTCACATAAGAGTACTTCAAAGGTTATTCTTCAAGCAACATGAAACAAGGAAAATCGCATCCATGGGTCACTTGAAAGCTATATATCAACCAAAAGTTCATCAAATAAAAGTAAGGTTCCTTGAGATAATTTGGGAATTGATAAGAATATAAATAAATTTCTCAAAGACTTGAAAAGCGACGAGGAAAAATTCGGATTAAGCAAAAAATCAGTCTCGTACTTCATGCTAAGAAAGGAAATGAATACTAAGATAAGAAATAGCATTTTAGCTTTGAAAAACACAGGAAGGAAAAAGGAGAAAGTTACATCCATTCATGCTATGGTTTTAAGCTATGACCTGTAAAGACGGACACAAGTGCAATGCTAGGACATCGATATAGTATGCTAGACATGGAATTTTTTTAGAACAGGGATATTGATGTGCATATTTCTTCCTCATACGTATTTTTGACTCGTAAATATATAAAGAGTGTCATGAAATCGATAGTATCATGAATTTAGCAACACGAACCGATAATCTATATCAATACCTTAAGGGAATTTGATGTCAAGACTTTTCCAATCTGAAAAATACTGTTAAACAACAGGTGATGGATTGTGAAAAAACAAAGCATAGATGTGGATGGAAGTTGAGTAGGTGTAAATGAAAACAACACTTAAGAGAGGAGATTCCCAAAAAAGCAGAAAGTAGAGAAGCTATAATTGAGGAGCTTCTTACCCCTCAGAAGTCCAAGCCAGAAGTATGAAATTTGACGATATGAGTATGTGACACCTTATACAGCATTAAACTTGTGCCATCCTTCATTTATCAATCCATCTAGCAAACAAAGTTTTCTCTTTTGTGCAAGGTCTTAAATAAAAGTAACCTTGGGATGTGAAAGGTGCAAGAGAGATTCTGGATTTTGAAACACATACTAGAACAAGACTTTAACTTCAAATCATATGATGTACTTAATCTTGACAGTTCCTGATTGCTTGTAGTGATAGATCAACTACAAAAAAGCTCTATCTATCAGCTGATTGAAGTAATTATCTTTGTTCTCCCCTTTAATTCGAAAAGTATGCAAAACTAACCCAATTATGTGCTCATCTCCCTTTCACTTTCATCTATATTTCATTACTAACTTAGCCAGCCCCCTCTGCTGGTCTAATGGTATACCTGAAAGGATCGAACATCAATAAAGTATTTCTGACAATCCCTTACATACTAAAGCACATTGGGTCATGTAGTAAACATAACTTCAGACAATGACATACATCAGGATTACTGCAATCATAAGTTCACTCCATTTTCTATAGTATACTGAATGGAGGCAGGCACACCCTGCATTGCAATCATACCACAGAGGAATATTGCACATTGATTCCTTAGCTGTAAAACCCATAATTCCAGGGGTTTTAAGGGCAATAAAGGTATGTCCTACACTGTAATTATTTAGTTCTCACTTATGACAGGTGCACTGAATGAAAGAACATAGGAATCATTTGCATCAAGCATGCATAATCATGAACCTAAAAAAGCTACAAAGTAGTCAAATTCTTCGACCACTAGTTACAGATAAATATATGATCCCTCTGATATAATTCAAGATCCAATTAATGTGCATATTTCATTTTGTGAAGGGAATGTTAGGGTGTATTTGCTAATCAGAAGTAGCCTACAAACTAGATCAGTTAGTGAGTCACGTACTGAGGAATCGTGAGCATTCTTTATTAATACATTAGGAATGAGTCATAAGACAATATTTCATCTTGAGAAATACTGATTTATTATTCAAGAACGCGAAGTCAAATTCCATGTGAGAAAAGGTACATGTATTCGTGTGTTATAAAGGAACGTATACTCGTACATCAAATAAATGCTCATGTTATACACTTTTGTCAACCCAATCCAGCTTCAACAGAACAAATGATGAATTCAGTATGACTTCAACTAAACAAAAGACTTCTCTCTCTTACTCTGATGCTATTGTCAAGCATCGAGTAGAATCACTTAGATTTCGATTTCAGAAGTCCAGAAACAGAAGCACAGTGAGTTGATTCGTACTCGCATTTCTCACAACAAGACTGCAAGAGTTCAATGACTTTAAGGCACCTGAAATAAGAAATGAATCAAACTTCATATTAGCCTACAATGCAAATTAACTCTACTTATTGCATTAGCTTAAAAAACAAAATGTGAATGTTAGGTGCCAAAGAAATTAATAGAAAGACAAAGGTATACTATATACACATAAATTCTCTGAAACTTGCTCTTCTCTGAAATGTCATGCTGTCAAGTTGGTGAGATCTCACACATGAACAGTAATAAATTCAGTTTCCATAGTGAGGTGTTAACATTTGGACCGATAGAGGAAGCATTTCAAAATTAAGTCAAAGAGACTCAACCAGGTTAAATTTCACATTGCGGATCCATTCATTTATATTATTACGTTTCAAAAGAAATCTTTAGTTAATATGTGAGCATTGTTAGTCAGCTCGTTTGTAGCTGGATTTTGGACTACTCTGTGTAGAAGTCGATGCAAATTCAAGATGCACAATTCTTCAGGACACAAGTCTTCTATAGGTTCATCCCTCTTCGAGAATCAAGGGGAAAAATCTGCTCCTTTTCATTTTCTATTTACCTTCCTTCTTATTTCAACATTTCATTAATTTTCTCATTTTGGACACAAAATGGGAAGAATTGGCAAGAAACAAAGTTTCTCGTGATAAGGCTAAGTATAAAAAAAAGCCCCAACATGCTAAATATCAGAAAACCCCATTTTTCAAATGGGTAGGTAAATTTTTTATTTCTTTTGGGGGGTAGTGGGGGTGGAGAGTGAAGGCTTTTTTTCCTAGGAAAACTAGAAAACTACAGCTAACGCTGTCAGGGGTGGTTTTCTAATAAAAGCTTAAATATAAATGGTTTTTTATGACCCTTAACTTAAGGGGTTTTTTGATATTGTGAAAGTTATGGGGGGTTGTCAGCTAATTTTCCGAAGTTAAAGGGGATTTTCTAATATTAACCCTTTTTTTCTTATGGCAGCAAACTTAAAGATGCTGCAATCATACCATTTAAGTGCTTTAATAAGCTGTTGCGAGTTGCATAAATGGTACCACCACAATTGGGTTCGATCCTTTTAATCCAGAGGCTTAAGGTACTAAGAGCATGTTTGCTAAACGGTCAAAGAGGATTATAATCCACTTCTGTGTATTATAATTCACTTTTGGGTGTTTGACAAGTTGATTATTTTGGATTATGATTCAAAACCAAAACATAAGCTAGGATACCATTGCTAGCTTATGTTCTGTAGATTATAATCAATGAAGTTTGACCAAGTAAAAGATAATTTTACTCATGATTTCACAAATTCCCAAGTTCATTTATTAACTCACCCGCCACCAAGTCTTTTTTGATCATTTTGGCAACAATGATAGATTATACTCCACCCATTTGCTGTTAGAAAAAAATTGAAAGAGAAAAAAACAATGCAAAGAACAAGAAAAGAAGAGAAGAAAAAAATCTGGGTGCGGTCGTGTAAACAATGCGCCAAAAAAACAAACACACCACCTCGCACATGCTTTAATGACAAACCGCCTCCTAGAGTTAAAAGCCTACGGAAGACCAGCACCTAAGGATACGGTGACTCCTCAATCCTATGCTCCGATGATGTTACCCAGAGAATAAAACAAAGAAAGTTCATAATTTTGTATCAGGAGACTTAGAACTTTGAGGGGGAGAGAGAAAGTTGTAGAAGAGAGACGTAGACTTTCTCTGTATTTTCCTTCTTTATAAGCGTCCTTTTCTAAGGCCTTAAGAGAGCAACGTTAAAAAAAATGTCACCTTTTATTCTAAGATTCTCCGCAATATGCCGCGTTTCTAACGTTCACGTTTAATAAAGTTTTACTCACATTATTCTTTTTTACTTTTTTTCCGTTCGAAAAGCGCGAGAAAAATATGAGGCTTGGTTACAATAACTTTTAATTAAAACAAAAATAAGATAAGTAAAAGGATAAGAAAGAAAATAAAATAAACTCAATCTTTTCATATAAAGTTGTAACAAACCCTACAGTTTCTGCAATGACAAAATTCCTTCAATTTCTTGTTTATTATGAGTTTTATCCTCTTCTTTCAATAACTATTGTATGATATATAGTAAACCTATTAATGATCAACTCTATGAATTTTCGGTCTTCATTCAACATATTATCAAATAGATTTATCATTTATAAGAATAATGTATTTATCGGAAACGAAACGACTTTGTAACCGGTGATTTTTTTCCAGTTGAATGTAATAAAAGCTTCTGATAATGCAAAAAATTTTCCTTTCTTTCTGTTATATGTGTTGAATCCTGGATAAGTGATCTGACTGATATGATTCTTGGAATGAAAATATTTATATCATTTAGAGGTTTCGTTGAGTCTATCCCATAGAATTGAAAATATGCTTCATAAATTTTGATTTATTCAAAAGGCAATCTTTAAGTATACCTTGTGACTCTTCAATTATCCTAAAAGGTGAACGAAGGTGAACCTATGTCCCAATATAGATGCTCTCAGTTTATTAGATCTCTTTTTTATGTGCCCATCAGAAACAAACTTGATACTACATATTCAGTAGGAAGACTTAGCATATACACTAGTAACCCTAGTAAGGAACCGTGAAGGCGGTGGTTGGGGAACAATGGCTGATTCCTAGAAACCCTCATGAGGTAGTATTTGTGAGCATGACCATTATCGCCCAAATCCGCTCGCTCAATGGATGATTGCATAATATGTGTGAATTTGTCAATATCTAGTAAAGGGGCCCAATTCAAAGCCTAGTCCATTATATCCTCTGATTGTGATAAATATCACTAAAGAAGGTTCAAAGTTGAAAGCTATCTACTTAGAATTCACGATGTCAAGTTGCCCAACCTACATTTTCTTTGCTTTGTTTACATGATTCTTTCTTCTATAGTTATTGCCAAAAGAAAAAATTGAGTTTATTTACTTTTTTTTTTTTCTTGAACAGAAGAAAATGAAGAAAAGTTTGTTAAACGTGAGCGTGAGAGCCATGGGATATTCAAAGAATCTCAGAAGAAATGGTGAGTTAGTTTTTTAACGTTGCTCCCCAAGGCCTATGAAAAAGCATGCTTAGAAAGAAGGAAAATATAAAGAAAACCTACACCTCTCTTCTACAGCTTTCTCTCTCTCCATCAGAGTTCTAAGTCTCCCGATATAATTGTATAAACTTCATTGTTTTATTCTCCGGGCAACATCACCCGAGCAGAGGCTTGAGGAATCGCCGCATCCTCAGGTGCTAGTCTTCTGAGGACTTTTACTGCATTTAAATACCCAAACGTCTGCCAAACATGTAAAGTTTGAAAGCGGATAATTCCTTTTTTAAAAAGCAGATTATAATCCAAGTGGGTATAATCCATAGTTTCCGAGCATGCTCGGTCTCACTCTCAATCACATATATCACAAGTCATTTAAACTAACTAAATGAGCCTGGGCACTATCCCTTATCCATAGCTACCATCCATCACAATCCCATGCTATCCATTATTATGGGAGCTATCATCATAGGCTTTTGCATATGATCTTTCACAACCCAGCTCCAGCAGCTACTTATCTTGCCTTCCAAGTAGCAAACCCTATCAACCACATCATAATCTTTTCTTTTTTAAATTTAACTACGTATGTTGATTTCTATTCATCCGTCAAACTAGAAAATCAACGGTATTTGCTTCTGTAACCAATATTCATGAGAACGATCTGATCCTATGAGTAACTATATAATGATTAAACATTAGAATTAACTATTTTCGCCCATATTTAATGAATAAAATTAGCCAAAATAAGCAAAGCTGTTACCTTTGAGGGTTGAAATTGTTCTTGGTGAGGCAAGCTTGGATGTCGCAGGCCTGCTTCTTGCATGGCTCCTTGATCTCCCCCTTCTTCATCAACCAGCTCTCTATAAACAAAACTCGATCGAGGGGTTTTTGAGATCGCGTCTTCTTGCTGTTTAATGGGATTTTTTTTTCCTTTTTTCCTTTTTTTTTTTTCGTTTCCAGTGGAGAATAGAATCAAGGAAATTTCTCTCTCGCTTGTGGGGTATTCAGACCCTTCCTCGTTAAAAAGGCTATATACTAAACTCGGGCTTTGAAAGGTATAGGGGCCCTCGGCTGCAGCCCATTTAACAAAAACGCGGCCCAAGTTGGCGCCTTTGGGATGTTTTGGGGACCGCCTTCCCAAAATCATTTGGTTTGTCCATCAAAGCGGGGTTAATTGGATTATTAGTCACTATATTTATCTCGTAATTGAATATTTATATCTATATTTTGATTACATAGATGACCAGTCATATGATTAAATATTAATCATATTGCTAGTCACTTCGAATATATTTTTTGTCAATTTAAATTATATATTTCATTTGTTTTTAAGCAACACAACTTGCTTAATATGTCACGTATTAATTTTTTCAAGAACAAAATATCAAATGTATTAGAGTTGTGGAATACGAGTTGATTAACATGTCACAAATTTTTATTATCTTAAATGATTAATATATTACACAAAGGGCTATATAATTGACCAAAAAACATGATCAAAACTTTTTTTTATGCCAAGTCACCAAGATCACTTATATTAAGTGGCAAAAAAATGTTAGAAGTGGCAAGCAATATAATTAGTATTTAATTATATGACTGTTCATCCAAGCAATTAAAACATAAGTATGAATGTCCAATGACAAGATAAATACAGTGACCAATGACCCAATTAGATCACCAAAACATTATTGTCTTTACCGTAAATTAGCGCTTCACATATAATCGTGATGGTGATCAACCGCTTAGCAAAATACATATGAGGATTATAGAAGAATAAAAGATATGTCTATAGTTCCACAGGAACTGGTATACGTATGCTGGAGGAATTTTTAAAAGAGAGTATTCTTGAAATTTATTAACAAAATCGATGGAAACTATTCTAAATTTGCAACAATTTTTGATTATTTTTTTAACCACGTCAACATGGGTGACTAAAAATTAATCTATTTTGTAAAATACAATTATTGAAAATACATAAAACTACCCGTGTAATTAGTCTTGCTGATTATATTGTGGTTCTTAATTTCTCCCCCTTTCTAGCGAAATTCACGTGACTCTCGGTTACAAAGTTAGATCATCAGAAGCAGAGCAGCACAAGATGATGCTATTTTATCTCATCTTTCTTCAAATACTATTCATTACAATACATCACATCTCCGCTCCATTCCCTTCTCATGGTGAAACCGAGTCTTCTACTATTATATTGAGAGGAAAAAAACACGAGATTACTAGTTCCGTATTGCAAATTTTTTTGGAGAACTCTTAATCAGTCAACACTAGACTATACAGGGCAACTAGTCTCGTATTTTCAAATATTGCATTTTGCAAAATCAACTAATTTTAAACCATCCGTGTTGACGTGGCTAAAAAAAATGATCGGTTTTGCTAATTAAAATATCTCCTGTCGATTTTGCTATTTCTAAAATGGTCTCTGTCAAAAATTTCTCCTATTTGTGCTTGATAAATGCTTTTTCTTTTTTGTACAAAATAGCTAGATAAGAAATCACTATCGCGAATGCGAATATGTTTAAACAACTCAGACTTCTTGTGAGATTGAACTTTGTGAATAAAGTAAATTATATTATTTTTCCTCACTTTTATAGAGTAGGTCACATCTAATGGAATAGACTGGGAATCAATTATAAAACACAAACCTTCAAAGAGATCAAATGGTTTAATCCATACCAAATTATTGCTTAAATTATATTGTTTTGAGATCGCAGTGATCCGAATATATTGGATCTTTTATTCAATGATAATTATTAAGAACAAAATATTTGTGATTTGGTAAGATCTCTTTTCATTAGGACTAGAGAGTAAAGAGATATTTATTCAAATCATATGAGTTGAGCTATGCTATTATTGATAGTATCCAACATACGGATACTATCAATCCAATTTTAAAAATCGAAACCCAAAAATAAAGATCTAAACTAGTAGATGTGATCTACTACACATAAACTAGTTAGAAGCAAAATTCCAAATGATTTCTACGTGTTTTGAATAATGTATCAAGAGGCGAAAATTAACCAACTTCATGAAAATTCTAAGGTGTTGATTTTGATGACATATTTTTGCACGGTTTAATGATAATAAAATACTTTAAAATTTTATTTCTAACTAATTCATGTGTAGTAGATCAAATCTATCGGTTAGAATTTTCATTTTTTGGTTCCAATTTTTAAAATTAGGTTGATAGTATCCGCATGTTGGATATTATTAATAGTAGCCTAGCTCAACTCAATATTGTCCACTACCATATAAAAAATTGCACTTAAATACCCTATACTTTTAACTGTATTGCACTTATATACCCTCACTTATATTTGGCGGCACCTATTATATCTCAAAGTTTTTAAAACTTTCATTTAAATACCCTAAAGATTTTAAAACTTACACTTAAATACCCTCAAATTTGTGTCACTAAGAGTAGTTAAGTGAAAGTTTAAAAAACTTTAGGGTGTTTAAGTGCAAATTTTAAAAATTTAGGATATATAAGTGTTGTGAAAATAAGTAAGGACATATAAGTGCAAATTTTAAAAACTTTAGGATATGGATATATAAGTGCTATCAAAATAAGTACATGCACATAAGTGCAAGTTTTAAAAACTTTAAGATATATTATTATCTTTCTTTGGCTGAGTGTCATGTACTTCCATAACGCATGTTTTTTCAATTATGAATCATGACTAAGTGATCCTACTCACATTAGACCCGGTGCCCAAGTAGTTTGGCCAATATTAGGTTAGGAAGTATTGAATGGTGATGTGGGTTCTAAGAAATACAAATAACCTTCGGGTTTTTCAGATTTGGCAAACATCTAGAATAACTAGTGAATTACAACTCTTTGTTGAGTATTTAAAACAAGCTATAGCGCTTACTCCAGGTAATTATATTGAAACACATAATTGATTGAAGATCACGAGGCATTTGGAATAAAAGCACTTGTTAATTCATTAAAATGAATTTTTGGATCAATCAATAAAGGTAAAATAGATTGCTATCATGGCATGAGAAGATCCAATCAATAATTTCATTATATCTCTTCCTTGTAAAATCATTCTATTTTGTGTAGTATCTTATAGGGATAAATGATATCGATACCTTACAGAGTAGAACTAATAAAAGATACCTTTAATGTATTTTATTAATTCCAATGAATGAGATCTTGTGATTTTTAATTTTCTAATTATAATTTATTTAATTGTAATAAAGTATTATGTTTTATGTTTTATGAAAGCAGATTCATAGGGGCGCTTCTATATTCAGATAGAAATATACTAGGCTTAGTTGCAAAAGAAATAATTTCTTTGTCACACTAGGAAAAGATTTTACACGAAAAGGTCCGTTAGACACCTAATTGTTATGTCATAATAGATCCAAACACTTGCCCTGGATGGACTTTAATATTATAATTGCTCTAGTGAATAACTAAAAAAATAGATAGATGGGTGATAGGACAAAAACAAACTAATCATAAATAAAATATCTATCTTCCAAACTTTCAAATGTTCACTAAAAACTTGATTGTTGGTAGGTCTCTAAGTCTCTTTGTATGTGTTGTCTAGAGAGAGGACTTAATGATTATTCTTTCGCCAGAACCCGAAGTGAAAATTGTTGTAGATTGGAGTGCTGTAAAAACATCTTTCAAGGAATAGGCCAGACATGAGAATGGTACATAGTTTTTGCAGAGTTTCCTTAGAATATGGCACCCTTGTGGAAATCTATTTGATTGCATCGAAAGGCCCACTGAATTGGAATTTCCCTATTGGGTCATGTCATGTCGGGGCAAGCAGATCATTTATCATAAAGAGAATGAGCTTTAAGAGAATGATTCAGAGTTTTTTGCGGAGTGGAACCATGCAGTACTAGACATGCGATAGATCTTCCAAAGAAGATTTTTTTTTTGAATAAGCAAATTCATTTGGGACCAGTGGATCCATTCTTTTTCCTATTTACAAATTAGCCATTTGTCTCTGTGTTTTCATGTCGAGAATTCTTTCCAGATGAAGAGATATCAAAGGGGCTTATTACTTCCCAAACAAATCCTCCTACATCTATATATAAACGCTGGCTCATCAAGAATATGCAAGAATTCAAATTGTTGCCTCATCGCCAGAAATGGCTTAGAACTGATAGTTCATTATCTAATAGATCTTTTCGTTCTAATACTCCATCCAAGAGTTATCAGTATTTATCAAATCTCTTCCTATCTAATGGAATGCTATTGGATTGAATGACAAAGACATTGTTGAGAAAGAAATGGCTTTTCCCTGGTGAAATGAAATAATTGATTCATGTAACAGGAGAAAGATTTTCCATTCCTTAGCCGTAAAGATATGTAACCATGAAAAATGGATTAAGTGGAAAAGAATTGGTCAGGTCGTAGAGTCGTGGAAACACTTGTTTATTCCATATTTTAGACCTTAGCTCCATGCAACAATATGCTATTGCTGAAGCATGGAAGAATTAAAATTTTAGATCAAAACACTATGTATGGATGATATGAATTGCTTAACCAGAATTCTTGAACGATGAACAACTAGAGACTATTACTCACTACATCAAACAATTTCCATTAATGAAACCATGAGAATCCGTCGAAAAATAAAAAATACGCATGTCCAATGAAATAGTTGTTGCTATCTGCTCCAATAACTAATTATTGGTTTAACTGAATAACTAAAGAAAATAGATAGATCTTTCTCTTCGTCTTAGGTCGATGGATCTTCTCAATCGAAAGATCTCCCATATGGATAATACACATTCCGGTTGACCGAGCCTAATTCTAATTGCTTTGTTCCGAACAAAGATATCCATGGAGACGGTTCGTCCTACTGCCGAAAACAAGAAAGGGTATATAAGTACAAAATAGAGGAACCTATAGGGTATTTAAGTGCAATCAAGCCATATTTTTGTACAAGTGCTTCATAAAGCAGCAGGATTCTATATTTGACCCGCTCTTATATGAGATTATTAAATCAATCCAGTGTTGTTAACATTAATTATTTCAAACATAACAAAAATATTTAAAAGCTTACATGATCTCCTTTTTTTAATTAAATATCTAATTTTAAAAAAAAACCTCTCTTAATCCTCATTATCACCGTCACTAATCTTCCTCTCCCGCCTATCATTTACCCCAAAAGGAACTCCAAATCAGACCCTACACAATCCAAAATTTGCACTTCAACCCCATAAACTCCTCAAATCTCCCCTTCTTCTTCTTCTTCTTCTTCCCTCTCAAAATTTACAATGTCAGAATGGCTTTCAGGCAACAATCTTCAGCGCGCGAACACGTCAGCAT